GTTTGTTGTTGTGATTGTTGTCATTTTATGGTTGCGTAGTTTTTGTGTGTCTTGTGTTTGCAATTGTTAACGTTTTAATTTTTGAAATTACTACCGCTACTACTTCTACCACCACTACTACTACTACAATACTACTACTACTACTACTACTACTACTAATACTACTAATACTGCTACTGCTACTACTACTACTTCTGTTGCAACTACCATTATTACTGATGCTGTTAGTTTTTGCTAGATGACCTTTGGCTGACCTTTTCAGCTTGACATCATCATCGTCATCATCACCATCATCCCATCACCACTGTGAACTCCCAATTACTATTCGTGCTTACTAAATCGTTTTCAATATATATATATATATATATATATATATATATATATATATATATATATATATATATATATATATTCAATATACTCACACACACTGAGACATTTTTATAACAAAAACCAACGAAATTATCGGTGGCTCGCACACGTCATCACCAATTAGGCACGAACGGATGGTCAATCTTCCTATGCATATTTCAACTGTCACATGCTCGTACACACAAACACACACACACAAACGCACACACAAACGCACTTACATACATACAAACACATATCTTGTATGATAAACAGATACACAGTATGGGTGAATGAGTGAGTGAGTGAGTGAGTGAGTGAATGTGTGAGTGAGTGAGTAAGTGAGTGAGTGAGTAAGTAAGTGAAAAGTGACTGAGTGAATAAATGAGTGCGTATGTGTTTATGATGTACGAGGGGATTAGAGGTCAATGACCTAATTTCTGGTTTACTTCACGTGATTGGTCGAAGGTTAGGCACTGACACATTTTGATTGGCTACGCTTGAGGGTTAGAGATAGACGGAGGGAAAAAATGTAAGGGTGAAAGAATGTTTGCTATTTTTATTAATTAATTTATTTGTATAATTAAACATGACAATCACTGTTCAGTGAACTGATACAAATATATACTGACCTAAAAAATACACACGTACACAAACACACACACACACACAGATACAAACAAACACACAGAGACAAAAAAAATTCACACACATACTGACACACAAAAACCGCATAGAATTGATATGATACACATAAATGTATAGGATGTACGTGGTATTAATACAAAAACAAATATACAAACACACGCGCATTTTGTTACAAGTAGCATACGTGAATATAACGACAAACACATCAAAACTAACACATAAGCGCTATACACACACATACACCACACATACATACACACACACACACATACATACACACATGATAACAATTTGTCTTCAAGTAGTTTTTGCTTTCAAACAAACAGCCATTTTTCATCCATTCAATTACTTTCTTTCATTTATTCTTTCTTTCTTCTACGTAATAAATGAATAAATGAAAGATGGAGAGGTGAATGGATGGATGGATGGATGGATTGATGGATAAGTAGATAGATAGATAGATAAAGGATGGACGGATATATGGATAGACGAATGAATGGATTAGAGAATGAGTAATGTGATTGATTGACGGACTGACTGATTGATTGATGAAAGAGAATGAATAAGATAGAGGGGAAAAAATGTTTGTTCATTAGAAACAATGAAGCTACTTTACTGTACTTGAATGGTCTTTTTTTGCAGACAGTAGAGTTCAGTATTGTAGAAACAAATAAAAAATTGTACTTTATATAAATTGACATGTTAGTATTTATTTATTCGTTCGTTCAATCGTTTAATCTTTCATTCTTTCATTCATTCATTCATTCATTCAGTCATTCGTTCATTTATTCAATAATTCGTTCATTCATTCAATCATTTTTTATTTATAAATTTAAAAAACTGTTTGTTTAATAATATTCCTAGGCATGCAAAAAAAAATTTGTTTCCAGTTGAAAGTCGAGTGTTGAATGAGGAGGTCGTTGATGATGATGGGCAACGTCATTCATCACCCCATATAAAAACATTCACACACACACACACAAACACACACACACACACAAACACGCACACACACACACGCTAATATATTATCATCCATGCATGCTGATGCATACATGCATCAGCATGCATCCATCATTCGTTCGTTCATTCATTCGTTCAGTCATTTAATTTAAAATTATTTTCATTACTATTATTATATATTAAACATCTGAAAAATAAAAAAAAGCTGTGGAAAGTGAACTGCGAAATAAAATAGCGACTTGGAGGCAACATCATTTTTTGATTATAAATTAATCAGTTCCAATTATAAAATTAATTAGGCGCTAATTCCCAACGGTCCAATTTTAATCATGGTTGACGAACAACTTTTAAAAAACTTTTCAAACTCACATACACAGATACACACACTCACACGCACACACACACAGATACACAAGCACACACACAGATACACGCATACAGACACACAGACAACACACATACAAACAACACACATACACAAATAAGTTAGGAACACACGCGCAAGTGCAACATTATATTAATTGTCTTATTAAAGAGTAATTTTGAGTATGCGTTCGTCTCTGTGTATGTATGTGTCTGTGTGTGTGCTTGTACGTGTGTGTGTGAGAGAGAGAGAGAGAGAAAATGATGTGTATAGTTTATGTGTGTTAAATTTTGTATACTTGCACGCATAGGATATTTGTATGTATTTGTATTGTTTGCGGGTTGGTTTTTATGCTGTCGTTTTACTAAATTGCCAAACCCCTCATTGAAGAACATGACACAGGTTGAAAAAAAAACAATACAAAATAATAAATCATCGGAAAAGAAAAAAATCATTCAACACACACCAACACTGAACAACACTAAAAAAAACTACAAGCAAATAAACCACATCTACCAGCACCAACAACAGCAACAACAACCCAACAATAGCAACAGAAACCCAACAACGACTCCCAACAACAAACAACAAACATCCAACAACACCCAACAACATACAACAACAAACAACAACACCCAACAACAACAAACAGTTCAGTGGTCTCTGTGGTCATCATGGTCAGCATGCGACATACACTGCTTACAGCATAGACAACGATCATGCGAGTATTCACTAGCCGATAATACCGGCTCTACCGGTTTGTCGGGCATTTCGGTTAATCGTTGCAACGGTGATGATCAAGAATCGGTAAAATGTCTCGATGAACCGACTTGCTCGGGTCCGTTTCATTGTTTTCTCATCTGTATTTATTGTAAAATATAATTGATAATATTAATTTTTTATTTAAAACTCTTATAAATTTATTTAATACGTACAAACGAATACATGCAAATGATTAACAATTACGCCAATCACATTTTTAAAGATGGCGAAGGGCCGATCCAAGAACTTGAAAAAATTCCCAATGACAATTATAAGATCTATGTTGGGATTTCTTTGGCCATTTTGGTGATCGTTGTTATCGTCGTCTGCGGATTTGTCGGCTTTAAGAGGATCAGAAAGAATTTTAGAGGTCCAATTAGTTTAATTTTTCAAATTATTTTTAAAAATATTGTAAATATATGTTCATTTTTTCATGAATTATTAATTTTCAGTATTTTCACAAATCATTTTTAAGATTTATAGAAATTAACAATGCATACTATTTATATAGCGCAAACATATTTTCTAACTTTTTATTGTAACTTTTGATTAAATAATTTAAAATAAATTTTAATAAAATTCACAAAGGTTCCCAATACAAACAGCCCAGCAAAGGTACGGACTGATTTTCTGTATCGATAAAGCTTATTTTTTTTACAAAGAGTTTTTCAATAGCTTTCATTCTTACTAATATTAAAAAATATATATTTTAATGAAGATAACGAACAACCTGATAAACTTTCAAAGTTTAAATGAACAAATTCACATAATAAAAAAAATTCCACGCGAGTTAACGTAACGTAACGTAACATCCATCCATTCAGTTTCCAATCTACTTCTGAAACCGGAAACTTCAAAAACCATCTTGGTCATGTCTGCCAACAACAACAACAACCTTACTAACAACAACAACAACAACTTGACGTACAACAACAACACTTTCAACTCCCAACAACAGCAACAGCAGCAGCAGCACAACATCAGCCCATCGTGTAGCATGCAGTCGAACAACACAGAGAGTAGCACGATCAACGACTCGTCCCATTACTGCGACGTGAACAACTTGCTCCCAGACAACCACAACAACAACAACATCGACAGAAACTACAATATAGTCGACGACTGTTGCTACAACAACAACATCAACAACAACTCAACTTCTCAATACGCAAAATACACCCAACTAAACAATCTTGAAAGATCTTTCATGTTGCCCAAGTACGTATCGGCCAACGTATGCACAGACGCGTTGAGTTGGTTGAGTCTTGACGAACATGGCGGAACTATTTGCATCAGCGGATCAAGTATGTCTGTCTAGTTGTTTTATCGTTGTTGTGTTGTTGTTCGTTTTTTATTATTACTCGGTTATTATTATTTTTTAGTTGTTTAGTTTACCGCTAGTCAACTAGTTTTTCTTATTAAATGTTGTTCGATCATCTGTCAATCAGTTTGTTTGATCATTAGCCCATTCTCTCACTCATTTATTCAAGCATTCGCTCACTCACTCAATCATTCACTCATTCATTCATCTATACAAAACCTAAAATACAAACGATAATACCGAATACGCAGATATCAGCTTGACGATACCAGAAGGTGCGCTGGCCTGTGGCGAGGTGGTCGAGTTTTTCATCGGAGTGTCCAGAGATGATAAAGACCGGCCTCACTTGAATGGTCAGTAGAAAGTCGTGTCGTGTGTGTGCAGTGTCGTGTGTGTAGCGTGTCGTGTGTGGCGTGTCGTGTGTGTGCAGTGTCGTGTGTTGAGGAGTGATTCACATAAGCGTATAGTCAGCAATACAAACATCATCAGAGATTTTATTTTCAACCGAAAGCAAAAAATCTTGCCAACATTTTTTTTTCAGAATCCCAAACAGTCCTTAGCGACATTTTAATTTCCGGTCCAACTGACGTCCAACTCCTTAAGCCGGCCATCTTGTCTTTTCCTCATTGTGCAAACAACAACAACAACCACAATAATAATAACAACAACAACACACATAATAATAATGATAATATATATAATATAAATAATAACATGAATAATAATAATATTTACGATACTATCATCTGTGATAGTGGCAACGACAATTTTGACGATTGTAATGGTAACTTAAATAAAATATTCAACAACAACAACAATAATAATAATAATAATGTCATGAACAACAACATCAATCTCAACAACACCAACAACATTAGCGTTTTTAACAATAATTGCAATAACAACAGTACAAACGTTAACCACAAGCTTGTGAATAACATCAACAACAACAACAACAATAATACTAATAATAACAAAAACAACAACAACACTAATTGGTTGCATTACGTCACGCATAGTTCCTTGGATTATAAGGGCAGGCCTGGTTACAAGGTTAGCATTTGTTAATGAGACGAGAATCAATTATAAGACATAATTATCGTTAAAAAACTTGTTTATATGAAATAATAATATTAATAGTAAAATGATGTTTAATCTAATATTACACACACAGGCACGCACGCACACACACACACACACACACACACACACCCACACACACACACACACACACATATATATATATAATAATAATAATTGAGTATTTATTTATATTAACTATGCATTAGAATCAAAATTTTTATTTCAACCCACCACAAAACCAACCAACCAACTGCTGAAACAGCAAATTTGCACGGTGGGGCGCGAGACCATCAACACCCCCGTCTACGTGCACCTGGACGCGACTGACTGCCACATAATGACGGAGCAGCTGGGCCAGTTTGTTCTAATCGGGGAGCCTACAGGGCTGGCCGTAAAACGAATTCGACTCGCTGCATTCGCGCCGAAAATTTCTCCGTCTATGGAGTACAACATTCGGGTCTACTTCGTCGAAGATACGCCAGATGCTTTGAAGGTTTTTTTTAAATTTATATTTAAAATTTATTTTTTTAATTTAATTTGTTTTGGTTTATTTAATTAAACTCGTGCTTCTTTTAATAAGAGACAATGTTTCATACGTTGTCTGCTTTGTGCCTTTGTATCTTAGTAAACTGTTTTTGGGTTATTTCATGTAGTTCTACTTATATTGCCGCTATTATTTTCACCGTCATCATCGTCGTCTTCATCATCATCGTCTTCATCCTGATCATCCCCATGACCACAACCACCACCATCATCTTCATCATCATCGTCGTCGTCATCTCCACCATCATCATCGTCATTACAGGGTGTATTATCATTGGAAGAAACTCTGGGTGGTGTGCCGCTAGTTGAACCAAATATTTTGGAGCTGCAGTATTCGGGTTCTAATTTGTGTTTGGCTGTCGACAATTTAAGTTGCGGCTGGAAGTGTAAACTGGCTGCTAACTATCAGGTTGGTTGGCTGGCTGGTTGGCTGAATGATTGAATGGTTGATTGGTTGGTTGTTGGGTTGGTTGAATGATTGGTTGTTGATTTATTTGTTTGTTGTTTAAATAGATGGATTTTGAATCGACTGATTATATGTTTGAATAAGTGAGGTAGGTTGATTGAATGAATGACGGTGACGTTGATTGGTCCGCTCGCCAGATGGACTTCATTCAAACAGATAGTGAAATCAGTAAAATAGAAAAACAGACTGAGATTACTAACATGTTTTTTGAACTCTTGCAAATAAAAATAATGTTAAATATACAATAATAACGTGAAATATTCAAAAATAATGTGGAATAATTAATAATAATCTGAAGCATTCAACAATAACTTGAAATTGGCACCCAGGAAATACCTTTCAAACACATTTGGAACGATCACCCGACGGCCCTGCACTGCTCCTTCACTTTAGAGCTTGTAGACAGAACTCAAATTAGTTTGATGTGCGACATTCAGATATTTCAAACTGGTAACCTCGCAAATGCTAGGGTGCTTAATATTGCCCAATGTGTTGCCGATGTAAGTTGTGTTTGTAAGATTCATTTCGTGTCATACATTTTCATATTTAAACTCTCGATTTTAGGCTATCTTTTTACATTTCATTTTAAATTTTTTGATGAAATTACTCTAAATTTGTGGATAAATTAATTCCAAAATATTTAATTTATTCATCTTTGTTAATATTTCTCCCCGACAGAGTATGGCGTCTAGTTACTCTCATTTATCGCTGGCAAGACCAAAGACTATAAATAACAACTCGAACGTCAGTCACGTGAGCAGTTACAACAACAATAACAACAACACCAACATTAATAACATCAGCAACAATAATAACAATGATGATGTGATTGAGAAAATTGGAGATGGCAATGATGAATACAATGGCAGATATGGCTTTCCGTTTTTTAGGTGAGTTGCCTACAAAAAAGTGACATCATCATTATCCCCATCATCATCATCATCATCCCCATCATCATCATCATCATCATTCCCATCATCACTATCGTTATCATCACCCCACCAGCAATATTTTCATCTCCATCGTCACTAACATCATTATCATCGCCCACTTCAGCAGTATCATCATCATCATCATCACTATCTTCAGCACCATAATTATCTCTATCATCATTATCTTTATCATCATTATCTCTATCATCATTACCATCATCATCATCATCATCTCTATCATCATTATCTCTATCATCATTACCATCATCATCCCCACCATCATCATCAACATCATTTCCATCGTTATCATCATCATCACCACTATCATCATCATCATTAACATCGCTATCGTGATCATCATTTTAGATTGCCGATAAACTTGAGGAGACAACTGTGCCACATTCTGGACGTTCCGAACTGCAGGATGAATGACTGGAGGAAGCTGGCTCAGCTGCTGAAACAAGACAGGTTAGGATGGATGGATGAATGAAAAAATGAATGAATAAATGAATGAATGAATGAATGAATTAGTGAGTGAGTGAATGAATGAATGAATGAATGTATTGACGCAAGTGTAGATGGATGAATGGGTGGACGAATGAATGAATGAAGGAATGTTTATATTTACGCAGATATAGCTAGATAGATGGATGGACTTTTATTATTATTATTTTTATCGTTATTATTATTATTATTTTTATTATTATTAAGGTACATAAATTACTTTGCAACAAAATTGAGTCCGACGGATCACATCCTTAGCTTGTGGGAAGCAAGAACTAACAACAACATCATCAACATCAACAACAACATTAACAACAACAACAATAATAATAACAACTACAACAATAGCAATAATTTTATTATAAACGTTAATGATGAGGAAGACGACGACGACAATGTTTTTAATAATAATAATAATAATAACAATAATACCAACAATATTAACTATCATAATAATAATAGCAGTAGCGTGATTTATAGTAGAAATCATAATAATAATAGTAATAATAATAATAATAGTAATAATAATAATAATAACTTGAAATATGTAGAAGAATTAGTTGAATGTTTCAGATGCATGGAGAGGCCAGATATTTTAAACGTCTTTGAACAGCAGAGATTCGACATTTAAATTCTGAATCTTTTTTTTTTGTTTCTTTGTTTTGTTCGTTTTTATTTTTTTTCCCACAAAATTAACACGTGATAAGGAAATAGATAGATGGATAAATGTATGGATAATGTTTGAATGAATGAATGAATGATGAATGAATGATTCGTTGGTTGAATGATTGAATGGTCTGTTTAATTCATGTTTCGTACAACCATTATCAGTCGATAACAATAAATATCGAGGTTTTTATTTCATCCCTGATTTTCATTGTATAGAAATTTTATGTATAATAAAAAAAATAAATACTAGACAGAAGTTGTTTTTTGGCTTCTTGAAGGAAATCGAAATGGGCAACAGACCAGCTGTGCGATCATCGTAAAATATAAAGAACTTAAAAGCTCGCGATAGAATATAAAAACTTGAAAGCAATTGTTACGCATCCCGAATAAAATATTTCGAAATCAACTACACTCACATACACTCACACACACACACTCACACACACACAGTCGCAATCTAACAACGGCAAACACTACTACCTTCTTGGGAGCCAAAATGCCGTTAACTTCGAAAGAAAAAAAATTTTTGAAGGAGTAATGTTTACACATGTTAATTTATTTATTATAGATTAAACAGTTGTCACAACTTAACGTTTAAAATAAAAAAAATAGTGTCTGTAATTTAAATTTAAACTATTTTGCCTTAAGAAAAATTTTTCGGAGAAATTAACGACAAAATATTAAAATTATCATTCCGAAGACTTTTGTTGTGGTTGCAGTGGCCGCTTTAGTGGCTGTTGTTGTGGTTGTTGTTGCTACTGCAGCAACGCTCCAACGTAGGTTCCAACTGTTAAAGGAACTTTCAGTGAGAGATTACGAGAATAAGGAACCAGCTCGATCTGATTTTCAGATTTGAAATAATTAATTTAGATAGTTATCTAAAATTGTAAAATATTTAAAAAATTATAAAAAAGCAATGTAATATTGTACAGAAAATATATCGATCCACTGGCTTCAAAAAAAAAATCGAAAATTTTTAACAGACCTCGAAATGATGATGTGAATTGCTTCCTTGTGTAACTGATGACATATAAATATAACTTACTTGAAAACATGGGAATGCTTTCTTCAGCATTACCTTCCTTTCTCCATCATAACCCTTATAATCTTTATTACAGAAATGGTCACTGCATATTCTTGCATTTTTTGATGAAAGCCATTTGAAATCATTTATTTCCTGTCTGATGCACTTAATCCAATCGTTTTGCATTTTTACATTTTGAGGAAATCTGAAATTTTATAAACTGTTACAGAAACTTGTGCATTTCTTAAGTATTGCTTTTAATAATAAAATGGTAATCCATGATAGCATTATAAATTATAAAAGTCTATAAAATAAAATATATGTAATTGTAAAACAAAATAGTTCTATTCAATGAGTATAGGGATATTGTTACATCTATTTTAGTGTGAAGTTAATTTGAAAATAAACCTGTGAAAAGATGCATCAGAAATTTTCTCATTTCTATTTATTATTAATGCAATTTTTAAATGCAACAGGTAGGCATGTTTGTGTATAGCTACGAAAATGAAAATTTACTTAAAAACTAAATTATTGTATCTGACACGAAAATTAGTACAGAAACAAAAACGAAAGAATAAATGACAATATAAAAATTTAAACGTTGATTGAAAGAGTTTATTCTAATTATATGGTATGGGCAATTCGTTGCGAAATCGTTGGAGGAAATGGTGTCAACAGTAGTTATTTTACTGCATGGTAGTTAATCAGCCGGTATGAAGGTTATATTCAATTCCTATCAAATAAATTTGACAAAATATCATACACAGGCAGAACTAAATAAAGAAATAGATAGATATATACACATAGTTATAATACATTTATAATGTTGTATTTACACATTCAAATTGTACAATTGTGTTATGGTGTAGTCTCAAATTATTGCGAATTCTCAGAAAATTTTAAACGTTTTACTACACTATATATACTAGTTATTTTTATCAACAATTTAAAAATTTCATCAATAATTAAAAAAAAATTTCAAATTGATTTCATTGTGATATCGATAATGATTTTTGTAACCTGACTGATTAAAAAGCATCATATAAAGTTAAAATAGGATGGAGAATTTGTTATATTGGGATATTCATTTAAAAAGCGAGCAAAATTTTAATATAAAAGCGCTTATAAATCAATGCATATTGGCTCAGCTTGGCTTGGCTCGGCTTGGAATCGGATGTTAAGCAAGGTGTGGTCTCAAACTATTTTGAATTCTCCCCGAAAAATTTGAACTGCGTGCTTACATATATAGTAATGGCTACTGTTGTTTTTAATAATGAATTTATAAAACATATAAATATAGCGAGCAAAATATTAACATAAAAGCGCTTTTAAATCTATGCAAATTGGCTCAGCTTGGCTTGGCTTGGAATCGGATGTTAAGCAAGGTGTGGTCTCAAACTATTTTTTAATTCTCCCCGAAAAATTTGAACTGCGTGCGTACATATATAGTAATGGCTACTGTTGTTTTTTATAATGAATTTATAAAACATATAAATATAGCGAGCAAAATATTAACATAAAAGCGCTTTTAAATCTATGCATATTGGCTCAGCTTGGCTTGGCTCGGCTTGGAATCGGATGTTAAGCAAGGTGTGATCTCAAACTATTTTGAATTCTCCTCGAAAAATTTGAACTGCGTGCGTACATATATAGCACTGATTACTGTTGCTTTTATAATGAATTTTTATTATATATATATAAAGTGACTGGAATCCATGTATACAAATAATTAAATTATATTACATTAGATTATATGTTTATATGAAAAGCAATATAGCAGATTCAACCAGCCAACCAGAAAGTTTCGAAGGCGTTCGTTCGATGACTTCAATTTAGTACGGTTAGCATTGTGGTTAAGACTGTATAATAGTGCAGTATATACATTAAACAAGTTTTTTACTGATGCGAATGATTGAAATGATGAGAATGTATGGTTGAAACGAGTATAAATAGAGGAGCTGAGACAACATGAAAATCAGATCAGCATTCTGCTTCGCTTGAAGCAGTCTGTCTGATCTCATTTATTTTATTTTAAAAATTTTTTTATTTTTATTTATTTTATTATATAGAGTTATATAGAATTATATAGAGTTATATAATGTTATATAGAGTTATATAGAGTTTGCATGTTTGTAGGTGGTTTGAATGTTTGTAGGTGATATTTTTTTAATTTTAGGTGGGTTCTTTAACGGTTGCTCATACATACATACATACATCAAGTTTGTTTGTGTGGTAGTATTTTATGTTCTGTTTTACTCTTTTTTCTCTTTCTTCATGAGTCTTGAGTTAAATTATTGAAGCATAGGTAGGTGAGGTAAAAATTAATTTATTATATAGGTAGGCTAGGGCATAAAGTAATTTAGTTACATAGGTAGGTTAGGGACTTCTATTCTTTTACTCTACTTGGTGGCGTGATTTTTGTTTTGTGTTTTTTTTTGTTTTGTTTCACATCATACATTCAGCAGGTACGCGGTGGTTCCTGGTTTTAGTGGGATTTTTATTGATTGAATGTGGTAGTATGCATGGTTATATAGAGCTATATAGAGCTATATAGAGCTATATAGAGCTATATAGAGCTATATAGAGCTATATAGAGCTATATAGAGCTATATAGAGCTATATAGAGCTATATAGAGCTATATAGAGCTATATAGAGCTATATAGAGCTATATAGAGCTATATAGAGCTATATAGAGCTATATAGAGCTATATAGAGCTATATAGAGCTATATAGAGCTATATAGAGCTATATAGAGCTATATAGAGTTATATAGAGCATAAATCCTATATAGATACTTTTCTTTGTTCTTCTTTTCTCTTTTCTTTGCCGACCGGTCGGTTTCTTTGCGGTTATTTTCATTTAAATTGAATAAATAAGATTTTACCATTCATTTAGGTTTTTCAGGTTGAAGCTTCCAGAGGAGTTCATCGTGGACGATCAGAATGGTTGTGATGTCACGCTACGTTCGTTCATTCGGTGGCAAAGAATGCACGCCCTGCTGGGGTACGTTTTACGGTTTCTTTGCGGTTCTTTTTTTGCCAGTTGGCTGGTTTTTCCGGCGGAATTCACTGCGGCTCGTTTTTCTATTTTCATTTAAATTAGTCAAATAAGATTTTTCCATTTCATCCATTTTATACAGGTTGAAGCTTCCAAAGGAATTCATCGTGGAAGATGTCAGGCTACGTTCGTTCATTCAGTGGTAAAGAAGATACGCCTGGCTGGGATACGTTTTATTCTTTTTTCTCTGTTTTTTTCTGTAATTTAACATTAAGTAAGAATGCTCACACGCATACACACAATTACATTAAATAGCTATATAGGTAGGTTATATAGGCATAATTTTAATTGTAGGTAGGATAGATAGGAAGCATCCAACACTAATGTAGTTGAATAGGTAGGCAGCGTAAGTTTATCTCTTCCATTTTTTCTCGCACCCACATTACACGCATCAGCGTATTATACACACACACACACAAATACATAAACACATATTAGTATTTGAGCGTTATTTTATTTTCATTACACATTCTAATTTATTATTATTAAGGTTGAGAGTAATTTAATTTCATAGGTAGTTAAAAGCAATAATTTCATTCTAGGAACAATCTTGTAATTTAAATTAAATAAACGCTGTAAATGTATCGAGAGGTAAGTTAGTTATTAAGTTTTACATTATTATTATCATTAGGTTGGAGCCCAAGGCATTACGTAGGTGGTGGGGTGGGTGCCGAAAGGCCAATGAATTGGGCTCTTGAGTTTTGTAATTTTAGGTAAGCTAGGGCCATAATGTAATGAATAGGTAGGTTAAGGCTACGTTGTAACACACACTCATTAATAGATTTAGGGTTTAAGTTTTATATCATTATTACTAAGTTGGAGCCCAAGGCATTACGTAGGTGGTGGGGTGGGTGCCGATTGGCAAATGAATTGGGCTCTTGAGTTTTTTTGTAATTTTAGGTAAGCTAGGGCTTAATTGTAATGAATAGGTAAGTTGAGGGTACGATAGCCGATAGACTCTGAATTTCAAAGTCTATTGTCAGAGGTAAGCCTTGGTGGCCAGTGGTGTACCGGCAATAGTTTACTATCCGGACGGCAATGGTTTACTATCTGCACGGTAATGATTTACCATGCGGCACGGCCACAGTCTACTACCCGCACGGCTTCCGGACGGCAAATGGTTTACTATCCGCACGGCAATAGTCTACTATCCGCACGGCAATGGTTTTCTATCCGGTGCCCTGGCCGTCGGTGAACCTCTGTGCACGGATGGAGAATGAAGGGGGACTTTCGACTATCGTACCATTAATTTAATATAGATTTGTTAAGGTAATTGAATAGGTAGATAGGGTTATTTTTATTAAGCAATTTGAGATGCAGGCACCGCTAAGCTTTCTGATGAGAATCTACTCTTTCTCTATTTTTCTCCATAAACACGGGCTGTGTTTCAACAACAACCTCGAGGACGACTGGCACCAGTTTTGGAGAACAACGTAGGAACCGGACCGCATTCAACATTCTGCCTTAGTCAAATGGACGACGGTAAGTTTTTTTTACATTTTACTTTATTATTTTAAAATTTTATTTATTTTACATTATTTTCATTTTATAATTTAATTTTTTTTTGCTTCTAAGATTCTAACATTCATTTACTACTACGCAAATAAAAAAATTTTGTTTACAGAATGATGGGAGATGGGCAGTGGTGGGAGTCAGCACGTTTTAGATGGTTAGGGTTAGATGGTGGTCTCATGATGATTTACATATGATGATGGTGGTGTAGGAAGAATCAACTCGTTGGCTGTTCGACTGACACTCTGAAGTTCGGATGGTATTTTGTGTGCCGACCAGTTGGTGGTGGTCGGTGCAATGGAAAGTACAGTAACGACGATTTTTGAAGTAAGGTTTAGTTTCGTTTTTTATTTTTCTCATTCGTTCATTTTATCACTCAACCTTTTAAATTATTCTTCTATTAGTTGATTCGTTAATTCATTCTATTCATTAATTGAATCATTGATTTATTAATTCATTCATTCATTCACTCATTCATTCAACCAATTATTCAATCATTCAGTTAATCTTTTATTCGATCGTTCCTTTGTTCCTTGATTTACTAATAGGCTATTAAAAAATGTCTACAGAATTATGAGAGGTGGGCTGTGGTGGGCATCAGCACGTTTCAGATGGAGGTCTCATGATGATCGTTCCGATGACAATTCGAAGATAACAACGACTGTTTTTGAAGTATGATTTAGTTTCTTTTTTTTATTTTTCTCATTCATTCATTCATTCATTTTATCACTATCTTTCAAATTATTCTTCAGTTAATTTATTCATTGATTCATTCTATTCATTCATTAAATCATTGGTTGATTAATTAATTAGTTAATTTATTCATTCAACCAATCGTTCAATCATTCAGTTAATCATTTATTCGTTTGTTCCTTTGTTTCTTGATTTACTACTTTGCTAATTAATAAAAACTTGTCTACAGAATGATGAGAGGTGGGCTGTGGTGGGCGTCAGCACGTTTCAGATGGTGGTCTCATGATGATCGTTCCGATGACAAATCGAAGATAATGTTAAAGGTAAATTTGTTTTTGTCTCATTGTACCTTTGAAAGTACTCGAATTTGAACAAAGATTGAGTGTTATCTCAAAAAGATAAGTCGCCTATTTTTTCCAATTGCTTGTTTTTTATTTTAGTAAATTAATTTTTTTTTCAATTTATTTTTCAGTATCCGGTCAAATTCATTCCATCGATGCGTGTCAGATGATGGTTGGTGCAATGGAGGTTCGTCGGTAGTGAGTGAAGTTTCTGGAGAGTGCGCACCCGCACATTTACATACACACACATCAATACAACACATATATACACAACATCCATTCATTCGGTTTCGTTGTTGCTATGTTTCTCTTCAACTTTATATTTTCTTTACCGTGAACCGGGCTTTAATTTAATTCATAGGTAAGTTAGGGACTGAGATGAGTTAAACAATTGTAGGTAGGCTAGGGCTTAACATTAGTTAAAAAGCTTCAAGTAAAATAAAAACGCTAAAATATGTTAAATAAAATACTTGAAACATCTAAAACGAGAAATACAAATTTGTAGGTGAGTGAGTTGAGTCAATGTTTATAAGTAAGCTAGGGCCCTGAGAGTAATTTTATTATAGGTAGGTGACTGACTATTATTCTTGCGACTTCTTACTAGTTTTGTGTGATGTGTTTGTTTTCGCTTCACAACACCACACCAACAAAACAAACTACATTTCATTCTCGTCGTCGCCTTAAATTGAACCTTTTTGAACAATCTTTTTAATAATGTCTATTTATTCATTAAATGTTGACTGGTTTCTAGTTTTTTTTTAAATTGGTTATATAATTTTTGGATATTTCTTGATTTACTTTGTATATATGCATGAATAAATTATTTCTGTTTAGTATGTTGATTTAGTCATTATGATATGTTGTGAACTGTTCTTACTAAATGTTCATGTTACGTGGTTTATTATCCTTCGATAACTTCTAAGGAGTGTGTATGATAATAATAATAATGGATAATAATTATTTTTATCGGTCGATATTTTGTTATATTTGTTTATTTAAAATACGAATTTTTAAAAAAAATTGACATTTTAAAATTTTAATTAACCGTCACTTTTCATTTTTGAATGAATTCAAATAAAAGCAACTACTGTGTTTTTCTTTCTTTACTAAAATCTCGAAATTGTTTGTAGATCTGTACGGTTAACTGTTTGCTCGAGTTTGAACAGGCCTTGCAAATTTTTTTTATTTATTTTTGTTTTTATTTTTGTTTATTTGGTTCATTCAATTTAGTTGATTGATTGATCGATTGATTGATCGGTTGGTTGATTGATTGACTGACAGACTGGCTGACTGGGTGGCTGACTGACCGACCGACCGACTGACTGATTGTTTAATTGATTTATCTCATAGTGTTGTATACATGAGAAAAAATCCGATTAAGCCAACCTACGGCTTCAGTAAGCCACTGTTTTTCACCTGACAAAAGCAATTTCTATATTTATACTGACAAAAATAGTGATATGAATATATTGATTTATTTAAAGCATTATATGTACAAAAAAGTGCTATCGTAAGAGTTCTATGAAACCCTGTAAGCCACTGCTGCAAGCCAACGTATGATTTCAGCAGCCAGTTTCTTATGAGCACCAGCAGAATGTAAAATATTCATTGAATATAATGAAGATAGTTGTTCAAATATCAATTTTGATTTATTTAGGCCGTTTATTTAAGCAAACCAATTTTTAACATGATCGAATAGTGTAAAAAAAAGGGTGACTATAGTTCAATCCTACTAAGCCAACCTTCGGCTTCAGTAAGCCACCGGATTTCACCGGACCAAAAGCAATTTTTATATTCAAATTAACAAAAATAATTTAATAATACATAATTCTATTAATCATTATTAAAATTAAATAGAATTACTACAATGTTTTAAGCATATTAAATCAAGTAAATATTTCATTTAGCTTGCTCGTTAAAATCCATGCAATTTCGTAAGCCAACAATCCAAGCACGACAAATAGCCCGACCGATAGATCGAATTGATCGATTAGTACTATTATTCTAGTTATGTGGTTTGGAGCAAGGGGAGACATTACTGAAAATAATTAAAAGTTGAAAAAATTGAGGTTCTTTGCATATCCCTGCTTCAACCCATAAGAAGGTGTTGTATGTTGGTAAATAGGCCTCCCCTTGCATCAGACAATATTTATTTGTTGACGTATGCTACAGCGCTGTATATTTGTAAGTGTTATATTATAAAAATATACAACAATCGTTAGTTAGTTAGTAATTGTTTGTCAATTCCATGCATAGATATCAATAACTTTGACTTTGTCAGACAATAACAAAATACAGTTGTAAAAGTATTTATGTTACGATGAAACAGTTGATGACTTTCAAATGATCGTGTTTAATTTTTTGGGAAATTTTTTATTACTTATTAATCAAAGGAAATAATGCAAACGTAATTAAACAAAACATAGATATAACGCAACGAAGTATCGAAGACCCTGACCTTTGCCTTCATGATGCTTCCTCTGAAAAGTACATCTTCCCATGACCCCTTTCTCAGTGTTGGTCTTTGTAGAATTCGATCGTAGTGTAGGTCTTGAGATGTTTTGAACAGGTCGTACTTTTGGTCGGCAGTGAGCGAGAGAATTATTTTCATTAACATACTTTTTTTCTTCGATAAGACACGATTACTTCTTAATTAAAAAAATCGCGGAAGGATTTTAATCTCATCATCAGAAAACTCATAGAATAATTTATACTCAGTTAAGGTTTCTCTGAACTTATCAAATTCAAACCGAACAACCTCTCGTTTGTATTCTTCCTTGTAGTCATGCAGCACTTCATCAATTGTCTTCACATTATTTCCTGAATTTTCGGACATCGCTGCAACAATTTTATTGTCCAAATATGGTCAACTGATCGCCAGCTAGATTTGAAAATTTTTAATGAAGACTACCGTGGGATCCACATTATATAGAAATCATACAAGGACAAGTAAATTAACAACGAATTAACGTTTCAAACATTTATTTACTGACAAACAAAAGTAAATCAATATTATCTTTTATAGGCTTCAAATAAATTAATTTATCCTGATTTATTGACCATTATCGCGGTACTGAAATGTTTCTATTCGTAAATTTATTGTGGGAGCTCACACTTCATTTACTGATACAATTTCTAATGAAAGCTTTTTTTCTGAAAGACCCACATAACTTTTTTTGAAACATTATTAAAATACCAAATATATTTATATGAAAGTAGAAGCCCATAATTTTAAAACAAAAAAGAATCACAGTAGAAAATAGATCCTTACGATGCATTCAAGCAATTCAATAACAGGTTTCAACTAAGATGGTTCATAAAAACTTTATACGATTAACAATCTTAGTATGAATAAGCAAGATTGATTTCAGTTGAATTAAGTTTGAATCAAGGTCTTAATTTGAAAAATTCAACCTGAAAATGTTATTAATAACATTTAAATTTAATTTATATTAATATTATACAATATTAAATTCCTCTCTGGAGACTTATCAGATTTGAGTTTGATTTTATATAGTTTTAATAATTTATCATCTAAAGTGATTTTTATAATAAAGTTTATAGATTTAAGCACTTAAAAAAACGTAGAAAACCAGTAAAATGTTTATTAATTGTAATATTATAAATATTATCAAATTCAAAAAGTTGAAAAGATATTCTAGCGATTCTTTCTTTCTTTCTCGTGCCTTATCTTTTCAGGACATTGGCGACCATCGACCTCCACAAAAGCCGATCTTTAACACTTTGTAAGAGTTGAAATGTGGTGATATTCAACAAGTAACACAAGGACTTCGCGAATGTTATTCGTTGTTGACCGCAATCTCTTTTCCCGGCAATCATTCCAGCAGTTGTGACATTTTCCATTCTTTCATTCAGCACGATGTGACCAAAAAACATTAACTGCCCGCGTCGGATTATCTGTAGTAATTTCCTCTTTTCACAACCGGACTGTTTTAATACATCTTCATTCGAAGTATGAGAGGCAACTAATTTTCATAATTCTTCTCAAAAACCACATCTCAGCAGCGTTAATCTTTTTTTTCCATTTCTTTAGAAATTGTCCAGGACTCAGAGCCGTAAATTAGCACAGGAAAAATGAAACACCCTAACAGTTTTAATTTTGTTGATATTCTGATTTTACTGTTGGTGAGGATGTTTTTCATTTTAGAATATGTCTCTTTCGCCATACTATCCTTCTTTTGATATCCATATCACATTTACAACTTAAGGCAATCAGACTTCCTAGGTAATTGAAGCTGTTGACTTGTTTCACCTGCTTACCATTAATGATTATGGAGCAGATCGGGGCGGTTTTACTTTTACTAATAACCATGCACTCTGTTTTGTTGATATTAATTTGTAAGCTTTTCCTTTCGTTTTCAAAAACCAGTTTGGAAACAATTGTTTGCAATTTTTCCATTGAATCTGCTATAAGAGCAGTATCATGAGCATATCTTACATTGCCTATATTCACGCCTCCAATGGATATTCAAGGTAGATCTTCTATCTTTCTCATGATGATCTCTCCACACCTCAACATTCTCTATAGAGATTGTACATTCTCTGAACATTCTCTATAGAGATTGTACAGATGTAAAGAGAATACATAGTCTTGCCTAACACCTTTCCTTATTTCTAAAAAACTAGTCATCTTGTTACCATTTTCATCGCTGCTCTTTGTCTTATTCATCAATGTCCAGTTTCCAGCATTTCCATAAGCTCCACGTGTTTCACGCTATCGAAAGCTTTGGAATAATCGACAAAACATTCATTTCAATCGCTTGTTCACTGAGCATTCGTAGCATAAAGATAGCGTTTCGTGTGCCACAATCCTCTACAAAACCCCATTGGACATTTGAAATTTGAATCCTAGGGATTAAATTTAGTTTATAGGCATAAACTTTACAATAGAGGTTTACTTTTAAATTTTATTTCACGTTACGTTCACTTTTAGTTTTAATGCTAATGTTAATTAACCTGTCCTAATCCAACTTGAGTTGAGTTGAACTTTTGAGTTGAAGTCGGCAGTTGGGTTTGCTCTGAAGGCTAAAACTCACTAATTCTTGCCTAACAACTTTGTTCACCATTTTCCAATAAAGTAAATTGCTGGCACATTTTAAAAGATTATATTTTTAGGCTCTCTCAGTCCAGGCGCTCAGGAGTTAGTGTTCAGAGGTAAAAATAAAAAGGTTAGTTTTAAAAATTAAAGTTTCGAGAGTAAGAAACAATTATTAAATTATAATATTTTTATTTTAAATACAAATTATAGTTAAATTTCAATAGTAATTGTGACAATTCATTTTTTATATTTATTTGAATTTGTTAACTTATTATTGAAATTAAATTAATTAAATAAATTTTATTAATTGAATTAAATAAGATTAGTAATAGCCAGGAAAGTGAAATTTTGGCATTTGCTTCTCATATTTTGATATTATATTCATTTGTTTAATAATTAATTAATTAAATTAACTAATTAATTAATCAAATACATAATTCAAGGAGTGAACAAACGACGAAAACATTGACCATGGAGGCCTATCTAATGCAGCTAGCGACAATGGCAACCAGTCTATCCAAGCTGAACATGCACCCGCACTTTGAGGCCGTTCACTACATCCTCATGTGCATGTTATTTAGGAAAGATGACTGTGGAAATTTGGGTCTGTGCTGATTAATTATTCGTTTTTTAATCATTAAAATTTTTTTTATTCATTCAAATAAATCTAAGTAGGGTTTTGATTTAGTGTTAAGTTTTTGTTAAAGTCTTTGTCAAAAAAAAATTGCATGGCTTTTTCATTTTTAAAGTTGGAAAATATTTAATATTTTATTTTTCCATATCCTAGCCCCTTCATTTTGTCGTAAGCACATAGTGGCCAGTTGGTTTGGTTCGATGATTCTCTGTTTCTCTGGCAGTATTGTTTCCAACTTGCTGATCGGAGAGGTGCTAATCATTCCATTCAAGTACCACGAAAACATCATCTTGGCCAGTGTTATCTGGTCTGATTTTTCTTCTGCTTTTTTTTCATTTTTTATTTTTTCAAGCTTTTCATTTTAAATGATTATTTAAAATTTTTTCATTAATCTAGTAAAATATTGATAGTAACAGCTTACCTAAAAATAAAAACTCATGCATGCATGTTCAACACACATTCAGAAACACAACACCCAGACCTCGGACAAACTTTTACACACACAGACACACACACACACAAACAAACAAACAAACAAAATTACAAAGGTTCCTGGTTAACTACTCTCCAATTGGCATGACCTTAAAGGTCCTGAACTTGACCTTTATAAGATTAATACTCAACACATTCTGGTGTCTTTTCATAGTTAACAAAGTTCAATCAGGGGTCATGTACGGGGTCAAACATTACCCTGGGGCTTACTTCATAATTGTTGCTTTAGGTGTTTCTAAAGGTTCCAGATGTTTTTTCTAATATTATTCATAATTTTTTTTATATAAATATATTTTATTATTTATATTTTAGAGTAATGATTCTAAAATGTGTTGTATTTATTCTAAACATTCATTTTATTCATATCTTAAATTTATGATTGGAAACAATGGTTTGCAATGTTTATCCAAAATATTCATTCAATTCAATTTGTTCACATTTGTACTAATTCTTTAAAATTTATTTATTTATATTTTTTAGTTTAATTTTCTTTTAAAAATAAATTTCATTAGGAGCTGGTCATTTATTTATGAATGCAGTTTTGAAGGCAATCAAAGGAACGTACGTGGAAAGGGATAATGAATTTCTATTTTTATCCACGTTGGTTTTCCCCTGAGTTATTTATACACTACATACAATATTTATCAGAATTTTTTAAATTATATTCATGGGTTATTATAGTTATAGTAATAATGATGATAATAATAATAAATAAATAAATAAATAATTACTAACATAACTAATTTCATTGAGTAATAACGGTATTTGTATGCAACCAAACACACAACAGCCACACGAAATGCTGCTTCTTGACCTCGAGCGTCTTCTACCTACTGCACTACAACTACATCCCAAACCATCACCCGCCATCTTCTTTCGCTTTCATCGTCGTCGCCTTCTTCTTCACCAACTTAACTGACTTCCTGTCAGGTGACAAAGAGTCAGGCGGAAAGGGTTTATTAGGTCTGGCGGAGAATTTGATATATACGATCTTTTTCTGTAATCCACTTTTATTTCAAAATGGCGGCAGTGGTGGTGGCAGAAAAAATGGTGATGAAGATGAGGAGGATGAGAGTGATGATGGGGGTGATGATGGTGATGTTGATGATGATCGTCGCAAGGGTCGTGAGAGGAAGATGAAGAAAAATTGAATTGATGAAAAAGAGTTTCTCATTTTATTATTATTTTTTTTAATTTTCCAAATATTTTTTCATTCCATTGTTTCACCACCCAGCTGTTCGAGTCAAGAGAATTATATTAATTTTATTTTATATTATTTAATAATTAATTTGTTATATTATTTATTTATTTTTATTATTATTTTTCATGAAACTTATTATTATATATTGGTATTATTATTCCACATGTGTTTTTGTCAATCAATTAATCGATCGATCGATCGATCAGCCAATCAATCAATCAATCAATCAATCAATCAATCAATCAATCAATCAATCAATCAATCAATCAATCAATCAATCAATCAATCAATCAATCAATCAATCAATCAATCAATCAATCAATCAATCAATCAATCGATCAATCATTCGATCAATCAATCAATAAATAAATCAATCAATCAACCAATCATTCGATCAATCAATCACTCGGTCGATTAATCATTCAATCATTCGATCAATCAATCAATTCTTCATTTATTCATTCGTTAGTCGCACTGTTAATGTTGTTGATTTGTTTTTTTGCACGTTACATTCAGGTTAATGTTCTTAATGTCGTTTGTCGGTTTTTGCATTTCTTTATCAAAAAAATATATAATATCTGAAGTTATTATTTCTATAATTTCATAATTAATTTTATAATTATTGAGATAATTATGTGAATTTAATCATAATTTGTTATATTTTTTTTGTTAAAATTTGTTTTTCTTTTATGTTTTTAATTATTATCGTCGTTATTGTTAACGTATTAAAGCCATTCATTGACACATATTTAGCACAATGAGGTCTGGCTGGATTCAAATGCATTGTGTGGGATTCGTAAATTCACACTTGTTCGTTGTGTATGTGTGTTTGTCTGTCTGTGTGTGTGTGTGTTTGTCTGTTTGTGTGTGCGTATGTGTCTGTGTTATAACGACGAATAATAATTAATAGAGAGTTAATAATAAAAACAATTGTTCATTTTTTCTTACATAAGTCGTTTATTTTTTGAGTGAAGGTCTTATTAGCGTCGGAATTCGTATAATCGAATCGTTTGATCACGCCATTTTGAATGAATTTATGTTGTTTTTCTTTTTTAAATTATGCGAATTAGGCCTTTTTTGGTCTGCCGTGTTGTATTGAATAAAAGGACAGGTTACAAGAAGACGAGCGTGAGTTAATCAGTAAAATGTGAGATCGAACAATGCGTACTTGTACACATACATGAACGTACAAACAAGAGTAGGTAAGTATCCACTCTCAAAATTTGACGTTGAAAATATTCCAAAAGTCTTCCTCGACATCGATCTTGAAAGCAAGTTCGGTACTGACAAATGCTCCGGCATACCATCTCTCTCGGAACGTCAGCAATACAATCTAATTAAAGATATGCAAGACTTCTATTACGAAACTCTCGTCAAAAGATAACTTTTCCAAAATGTGATAACTCCATAAAGGTGGATGACGGAGAGAATTTGCACCTAATGGTTAATAACCACAAAGATTCGTTCAGCATGCTCGGAGCAATTTATTGAAAACAAATTAGTGTTTGAGTTGAATTGCAAACATGCATTTCAAATCAGTTGCACTGGGACGTGGTTGATGAAGAAAGCTCACTGCCCGCACTGTGAAGAGTCTGTTGTCTGCCATGGGCAGTTGGGAATGACCTATGAGATGACATGTTCAAACTACGGCTACAAATATGTTGACATTACATATCCACCAGTTAATTGTCTGCCTGAATTTATTTGATAATTTGAATCTTCCGATAAAAGTCAAATTGAGCGAATAGTTTATAAGTTGTTTGTTTCATACAAAAATATGGAAAAAACATTCGTGAATATACTTTATACAAATTTTAATTTTTTTAAATGTATGTTATTATGATGAAAATAAAAGAAGCTCCTATCATCATTTTTATCATGTCTTCCTTAACCACTAAAATTTTCAAAACACACAAAACAACATACAAACTCATAAAAACATAATTAAAACAACAGAATAACGTACACAAAATCAAGCATAGTTAGGGAACAAGGCATACATATATACAGAAACAAACACACATACATACACAAACATTAGAAACAAATGACACTGTATGATTATCACACTCACAGTCCCAATGCTTCCATATAACACTGCATCGTTGGTTTTATTTCTACGCTTTAATATTTATTGTGGTATTCGTTTGTTTATTATTATTATTATTATTGTTTATTTATTATTTTTTTACTTTAAATATTTTTGTCATTTTTAGTTAGGTTAATGATTTGGATCGTATTTTATTCACTTTCCTTTCCAGCCTACTAACACGCTCACACAACAACACGCACTCACACATACATACACACACAACATACACACTCATAAAAAAAATACACACCACACACACACAAACACACACACACATACACACGTACGCACACTTAAACATACAACCTCATGGACACACGCACGCACACTTACCCAAACAAACTCATATACACACATGCACACACACACATACATGCATAGGCAAAACCACACACACACCCACACACACACATATATTACTATTAATTTTATTATAGATGATGTAATTTTTTAAATAATATTGATAACACGTTAAAATAAAAATAACGTAATTATTTTAGCACCGCTTTTTATTTCAGTATGACGTATTTATAGCTTACCACGTGACTAAACTAGAATGACGACAATCCTTTTATCATTACGTCACAGAAATTGTCTAGTCATAAATTCACGCACCACTGATGACACAATTTAATAAAGTTTACAGTTCTGCGTTCACTAAGAATAATGAAGTTTATTTTATCAGCTTGAAATATACTTTTTTCTATTTGACGATGATAAATGTCTTAACAATGACTAATTTATATATCTCTCTTTCTCTCTCTCTCTCTCTCTCTCTCTTTCTTTTTCTTTTTTTCTTTCTTTCTTTCTTTCTTTCTTTCTTTCTTTCTTTCTCTCTTTCTTTCTTTCTTTCTTTCTTTCTTTGGGTGTTTCTTTTCTTTCAGTCTCTGCCTTATTAGACATTTTCTACTTTCACACTATTTATGTGTGAGTTAGTAATTGATAAAAATTGTAAAAAACTGAAATAAATTATTTCGGTCGGCGCGATGGTTTAATGGTTAAGATGGTTGCCCCTTGTTTCGCTGTGCCCGAGTTTGAATGCCAAGAGATCCCCACTTGTCACATGCAACAATGGTGTGAGGCAGGGTGTTCGCGGTTTTTTAAAACTTTTGAGATATACTATTTTGAACATTTTACTTATTACTTATTAAACATTTACTTATTAGTTTTTTAAGCAGAAAATTGAATAAATAAAAAAAGTTGGAATATTATACATAGTAAAATAAAATGCACTTTTAAATCAATGTGTGAAATTTTAAGAAGGAAAATTGCCATTTGTTAGGCGGTGAGGGTGCTTGCTGACTATATTGCAAAAACACATTTTAAATATTCCTATATAACAACACCAACAATCACAACAACAACACAACAACAACACTAAAAATACGGCATAGTAACTACAACAATGATATGATAAAATAATAATAATTTTTGTCGAGTTAAACTTTCAAAATCACTCCTTCTATCAACTTTTATCACGGTTCGGCGCCAAATGACAAACTTATTTTATAATAATTAATTAATTCATTCATTCATTCATTAACTAGTTAACTCATTAATTAATTATAGGTTTTAGATTCTACCCAATTTTCTTATTACATTTATCGTCAGGTTAAAACATCTCATTACAATACATGAATTTTTTTTAAATTGTATTTTCGCTGCTCCAATTCTTTGAATTTTTTTTTAAATAAAATAAATTGATGATTGCAATTATTCTAAATTAATTAATAATTATGTTGTCTAATAATAATAATAATAATAATTATTATTATTATTTTATAATTAATTAATTAGTAAAATTTGATATTTTTTAATTATAATAATTAATAACGCTGTAACTAATTCCAGGATAAAATTATTTTGAAAATTTTAAGATCCCAAACTACAAATCAGATACAAGAACGACAGCGACACTAGCGACAACCACAACGACGACATGTTTCTGCTGTAGCCAGAGCAGCGTAAGTTGCCACTACAGGGACTACCTCAATAGCTAAAGAATCAGCAACGACCGAAACAACATTAATCAGCAATCTCAACTACAACCACAACAACCATACCAACAACTACGACATTCGCAGCATTAGCAGCTGCATCACCCATTTCAAAACCTCTACCAACAGTTTTAATAATTGACTAAATTCACTAAAAAACCACATCTAAACAATTGCGGGTACTGGGAGTTGAGAAATTGGCAAAAGCAACGGGGCTGAGAGACTAAGAGTGTTTGTGTAACAACAACAACAACAACAACAACAACAACAACAACAACAACAACAACAACAACAACAACAACAACCAAATTGATTGACATGGCTTCTTGCGACGTGTTAAACGAAGGAGAAGTGAAAATCTATGGAAATAACAACAACGAAAGCATCATCATCAACAACATGGTTGGAATTGATGTGGAAGTTATCATTTCGGAGAATATGGACAATCTTAACATCATAATCAACAGACTAATTACCGACGATGGCGAGGACAGCTGCGACAGAATGGAGATGATTAGGAACTATTTTACATGCGTCGAACATGTAACCGATAGTCTCGAATATTTAGAGAATTACTCATTTGCCGATGAAGAGAGTGAAAACGAGAGTTCAATCAACATAAACACCAACACGTTCGGCCCGGCCGCCAAGGTTTCAATCTCGAACAACTGCAACACCAATAGTAACATCTACATCACAAACGAGCCGGATCAGAATAGGGATATCTCCATCACCAACAACTGCCACAACAAAGATATCAGACTCGACTCAGATGGCCTCAACAAAATTGA